CTTTGAATACACTTAATGTATCATTTTTGCCACTTTCTAAAGCAGTTGTGGAAGTCCTCTTTTGTCTTTTCAGTTTGATAAAAGATACCGTAATGTGGTTTCTAAGTGGCAATGAATGGAACGACAGGCTCATGAGACTGCACTGTGTCCTCATCCATCTTATTCACTACACGTGGCACCGTGCCACCTCTGGCTGTCTCCTAAAGTCAAAGTGACCATCAAAGGTAAATATTCTGAATTGATTCAGAGCATTCAGGCTGACACAACAGTGCAATAAAACACACTCACAGAAAAGCACTTGGAGAACTACTTCAGAAGGGGGCAAAGAGATGGGATAAGTGTACTAACAGTGAAAGGGAACATTTTGATAGGATTAACAGCAACGTGTGTTTTACTGAAATAAAAGTAATCATACTCTGAGCAGAAGAATCACAATTTGTTTATCACTTCACTTTTTCATAGTCATTTTTTTTACTTAGAGAAAAAAAGCAAAACAGAAAAAAGGGTGTCCATTTTTTACACTTTGATTTCGTTCATAATCATTTTTATGAGCACATGTTTTTTATTTTCTTTTGGACTCTTTCAGCTTTACCTTCTAAAAATATTAGGAATTTACTATTTACCTTCTAATTATTTATTTATATTTATTTATGTTGGGATCGAGGAACATAGAGTATAAAATTTCAAACTTCTGAAATTTAGGAAGACTCATTCTGGCTGGACGGATGATCTATCCAAGGGAAAGTTCCCAGTGTGCCCCCCAAAAATGGTCCTTCTGCAGTTGTTAAGTAAATGTTGTTGAAATCGAATTAGTTCAAGGATAGTTTAGATTTTCTGTCATTACTAATCTGATTGTTTGTTCTATCAATTATTTAACTGCTTTTACTCCAGATTTATTTCCTCCTTTCACTTTTCATTTTTGATTCATGAGTTTTGATTTTCTAAAACAAATGGATATAGGTTTATAATTACTAATTTTTCTAGTGAATTATATGCAATGCTTCTTAATCTCATTGTATTCTTTTTCTCGAGGTCCACTTTGTCTGATAAATAAACCCATGTTATCTTTCTTATGATTTTTCTTTCAAACTGTGTCTTTTGTTTTAAGTGTTTCTTCTTCAGACCCTCAATAATGTTCATGATAAAATAAGAATGTTTTTAAATGCTAATAAGACGATTTGTGGCAGGGGACACTTGAGTAGCCTTATATTGGACAGCGGTGTCCAGGGGAGCCGAGAATGTGATTAGAGGTTTGGAACTCTCAGCCCCACTCACCAGCTCATGCCAAAAGAGGGGTTGAAGGTTGGCTAAGGGCCCATAATTTTCTCAATCATGTTTATGCAGTGGAATCTCCCTAACTGCCTAAAAGAACAAAAGATCTCCAGATTGAATAATTGCAGATGCCTCAGGGCATACAACAGAGAAGGCATAAAAAGTATTTCTCACCCTTCCCCATACCTTGCCCTGTTTTTTGACTATTGCTGTTTTTGTTTTTGTTTTTATAGAATATATAAGTAAACACAAGCCAAATGTTTCCTGAGTGCCATGAGTCATGCTAGCAACATTGAACCACATGAGGAGGATGTGGAAACTCCCAATTTTTACCTGGTCAGTCAGAAGCAGAGGTGGCAATCTGTGGTTGGCATCTGAAGTCTGTGGAGAGTGGAGATACGGTCTTGGAAGTTGAGCCCTTCGCTGGTGTGATCTGATGTTAATTCCAGCATAGATGTCAAAATTGAATTTAAATCTTAGAAAATGTAGCCAGCATTCTGAAAATTTGAGACGTGGCTTGGTTTGGAAAAAATCAACATAGAATTGTATTCCAGGAGCTGTGTTTGTAAGAAGAGTTTTACTTACAATTACCAATAGCCATCTTTAATTTGTCAGTGTTTATTTAGGGTCGATATTACACCACTACCATCATCTTGGTTCACATCTTTTCGTGTCTTCTTCTATTCTTCAGTATTTCTAATAAACTTACAACAATAGAGTCTATTTAACTACAGCTATCCCTTGTTTGTTTGTAATAACTGATGCTTCTATCCATTATAAAGTTCATCTTTCAGTGTTATATTATTGCTCTAAGTAGCTGTTTATCTCTGTTTTGCACTTCTGATTGACTATCTAATCATTTTTCATTGAACCTGAAGTAACATTTTACGATTTCTTCTGATTTAATCTATTGCCAATGATTAAATCACGTTTTGTTTATCTGAAGATGATTTTTTTCCTTTTTTAAATTCAAATGATATTTTCTCTCACTGTACAATTTCATTGTATAGTTATTCTTTTCAATATGTTAAAGCTGTCACTTAAATATTTCTGTACTCTCTGGTGAAAAATCACTGATCATTCTTCGTTCATTTTAAATATTATTTCTTTTCTTATTGTATTCCTTTGAGTTTCTTTGTATCTTTTGTTTTCAGTTATGCAACTGATTTGACAACACTCACTACTCTGAATAGATTATTCTTTTAGTATTGTGTCAAAAATAAAAGGAACATGTATATGAGGATCAGTTTCTAAAATTTCTATTTAATTCCATTGATCCATTTTTCTAGGAGTATATTGTTTAATTTCAATGTTAAACTGATTTTTCCAAGCATCTTTCTCTTTTGATTTCTATCTGGTTTTGTTCCATTGTAGCTGGAAAATATCCTGCATTATTTTAATATTTTTATATTTATTAAAACTTGTCTTATGGCCAAAACCCAATCTATCTTGATGAAAGTTTCTTGTCCACTGGAAAGAATGAGTATTCTATTGTTGCCAAGCACAATATTTTATAAATATCAGCTTAGCCAAGATAGTCAATAGTGCTTGTGTAGTTTCCTTTATCTTTACTAAGTTTCTCTTTACTTATTGCATTAGTTACAGTGAGAAAAGAGCATTAGAATCATAGGCTAGATTGCAGGTTTATTGATTCATCCATTTGGTTCCATCAGTTTTTCCTTAGTATATTTGGCAGTTTGATTTCCATCCTCTTAAATCACACAACCATGATGTGTTTGACTACAAAAAATGCCACCCCAGGGAAAACAGAGAAAATTATGGAAAAGTATATGGATGTACATAGGTCAAATTCACTCTGTAAAATTCACTTTTATCATAATCTCTTGACTGAACATCAGAAATGCCTTCTTTGCCTGCTGGTTGCAGCTGGACATAATTTGGAAATGAGAGTTTTACATTTCTAATCACTATCTTTATGGATTGTTTTCTTTCTTATCCGTTAATAAAATCCTGGACAGAATCTACACAGTTCTGGCCACTTTATTTACAAAAAACGTATCAGTCCATTTTGAAGTTCCAATTTCACATGCAATTTAAGCCCTTCCTCACTGGACTCCAGGGCTTTGGATGAGGAGAAGAAAAGAGAACTGTTGAATAAGGGAGGGTCTTTCTCTTCTGGAATAAGGGAGCTGGGTATGATTTTTGTAGATGTTCCCTCTCTCTCTTGTCTTTTCAATATAAACCCCTCTGATACTATGGGCTAGAAATGGGAGGAATCAAAATTGGAGAAATGGAGTTCTTTTCCTGTGTTGCTGCCCCATTTTTGTGCCAAGGTATTGCTGGCATTTCCCCCTGTATCTCCATCTTATGAGGTCCTGACTTCCTCTGCTATTATGCTTGAAGAAGTTCCCTTTCACCCAGATATCCAGTATTGCTGTATCCCTTGGGCCCTGCCTGCGTTTCATTTTCTGAGGAAAGCGTCCTCCCAAAAAAGGGAGTGTCATGGTGATACCAGGCTTTCTGCCTCCTCATATATTTCCCAGGCTCCTTCACAGGAAGCCAGGTCTCCTACGGCACCTCCAAGGGCTGCTGTACCAACCGGCATGGGTCTGGTCACCATTCTCCCACATATTACCCCAAGTGTCCCTCTTAGCCTCCAGCCTGGATCGTTTGTGCAAGCCTTTCCTCTCAGGTTGTCTCAACATGACACACAAAAGCCAAGCTCATCTAAGAGGACCCTCAATGTCAGAAGCTCTGATGGCCACAAAGGGATGAAGCAGGGGCTGTTCTGTTGCTGTGCAGTGTGTTAAGCCCACACTTAACCACTCTCCCCTGTGTGGCACCTATTCTTGGCACTGATTTCCTTGAAAACCCCACTCTACCTCATTCATTAAAATTCTGGAGGTGAGGGAATTACCTCATGAGAAAGGGCTGAAAAGGAATTACTTCTCACTGAGAGAATGACTCTCTCCCCACCTCCAACCCCCACCCACACCCCACATGCCCCACACCCACCTAGTAATCTCCTTATAATAGCTTGTTTGCTGGGTGGTGATTATTGATAATAGGGCCTGTTTAGCTGCCTCTCAATAAGCTCTAGGGGGATTATCAGGCCCCAGTGTTGGCAGCTGTCCCTAGAATGTGGTGTATTAGTGCCTCTTATTCTCATATGAAACCCCAAAGCACCAGTAAACATCCCACCCAATATCACATGATATAATCAAGGGTGCAACTCTGCCTCCTGCTGAGGCAATTTAAATATGAGTCCAAAAGCTGATAAGAGTTTCACTTTGCCTAAAGCTATTTTTACCACTTTGACAATCTGAGTAAGCTCTGAAGTGCACTACACAGGGGTAGCAGCCTGGGAACAGTCAGTATGGTGTGCAAAAACACAAAAGAAATACATTCAGTACTCTCTTGGGAAAATACGCACAGTCATGCAAGAATGAATACGGTGATTTCTTTTGGTCCAGAGGTAGTTTCCAAGAAACAGGAATGGGGAGGGGGGAAGCCAGGCAAAAGGAGAGAGAGAGATGGACACAAGAGAGAGAAAGGGGCAGATGGTGAACACAGCCAAGACACGCTTTGCTTTCATTCTTGGCTCCCATGGACACAGCCCAGAAGTAATGAGTGCCCTCTAGGAGAGGGCTCAGCCCAGGCAAGCTCCTGCACCCTCGCAGTGATTTAGAACTCTGATGTCTCCTCCAAGAACTCCATGACCCTCCATGAACCACAGAGCTGGTGCTCCTGACCACGGGGGTGGGCAGGGGAAAAGAGGGCTTCAAGTTCAGTCAATCAACATTCTGCCTTGTAGTCCTCTCTAAAGTCCCCTCCCTCCTCTGCCCCACACTAGACTCACAGTTTGCTGAACAAAAAAATAAGCTCATTAATCCAGACTCAGCCTCACATCACAAAAGAAGCTAGCAGCATTTCCAGTGGTGAGAACCCTAGATGCGTAGGTAAGTGCTATTCACTTCAATCCGCAGTAAAAGTTTAGACAGATTAAACCATAAATCAAACTCCATGGACATAATTTCTATCTTTTGTCCTGATTTTATCCTCTCTTTTAATGCTAATATTTTTCCTGTATTATCACCACCAAAGTTTTATCGGTACAATCTGTTTAGCTCTTGTGCATATAACTCTTACGCTCTTAACTATGAGATAAGTATTGAAGGACTGAGAGTAGAGAAAAGATATAGCCCTGCATCCTGGAGCCAAAGTTGGAGGGAGATAGATATTCACCCAGCTTGGGACATCTGGGTATGTGATGTGGACTCAGCCTCTAAAACCTAAGAAGCTAGATAAGGGCAGAAGAGGAGCTTGTGTGCAACCTGAATTTCCCACACCGTCTGGACAGCTCATTTTGGACGTCATTTTGTTTTTCATCGGTAGATGCCATTCTTTGAGATATCAGTGGTTCAGATTTGTTCTGAATGATCAGACTCCAGACTGGCACATCTGAAAGCTCCCTCAGAGGGAGAACTATGTCTCGCTGACCACACACTGGCGCAAAGCAGGACACAGGCTGAGTGAGCACATGCATGTGTGAATGAATGAGTGAATGAATGAATGAATGAATGAAGGGGTCCCAGGATGTTGGATTCCTAACTCCCCAAGTTCTCTCCAGTCCTCTGAGCAGGCTCTGTGAGAACCCTTAGGGAATAATGAACAGACTTTTCCTATCAAGTAAATGATGCTTTATATATAAATATATGCATATATGTGTACTTTTTGGTTTATCTGATTGGGATGTGTGTGTAGGGAGCCTAGTGTTAATCACTGCTCCACTGGTAAGAAGAACCAGGCAATGACTTTCCCTTTCTATGTCACTCTGGAAACTCCTTTTACTGCAGAGAACATTTCCCAACAGCATGATCCATCTGTTAGGTAGATGAGGTTTCAGAAACACACAAGTTCCAAACACTTATCTCAGACCAGATGCCAGGAATCAGCATCTTGACCTTGCTTTATCTGGACCGCTGTGGTGTCCGGGAGCACCTAATTTCACTGTCTTTAGATAGAGAACAGGATGCAGATGAACATGGCCAGGGGACCCCAACACAAGCACTTCGACTTTGAGAGGAAGAACGCCAAGCAGGCCGAAGTCAGACTGGCCCACAGACTGCAGAAACTAGAGGAAGTCTGCCTCTACCACACGAAGTTGGTGAGCAGGGAGCAGAGACAGCTCCAGAAAGACCTGCAGAGGCTGCAGCAAGGTAAGCTTCAGCGCTGGGGACCCGTGCGCCAGAGGCAAAGCAGGGCGGCCAGAAAGCAAGTACTCCCAAGCTCTGCGTGGCTTTCAGTCCTCTTTTGTCCCTCAGTTCCATTCCACAGCTCCTGGAGCAGCCCATTCAGAAGCCTTGGGTGAATCCTTGTCCAGCTTTTAATTACTCTCCTCTTTCAAATTCAGTCTCTTGCTTAAATCCTGGATTGTTCATTTATTTTATTGCCAACTCTGCTCTCTTTACTATTTCAGAGCTATTTGGTTTCATCCTTTGTTTATGTTCTTTCAGACTTAACACCATTTATCGAGCAGTTACTAAGGTCCAAGTCACTATTCTAATGTACTTTATAAAACTTAAGTAAGAAAAAAACTCTCTAGGATTAGGACTCCAGTTTCCTCAGCGTGAAATAAAAGTAATATTCCTTACTTTGTGAGGTTACGTAAGGAAGGATCCAGTGAGCTTTTGGAACAGTACCTAAACACAAAATCAATGCTGTAGAACTGTTTCCTCTTGCCAAGAAATATCAGTTTGTTATAGAATCAATACTTTCTTACTGGTTTGCTGAAAATTGTCACAATGGTACAGTTTGTATGAATGAGCTCTCCTTGCATAATCATTAAAATAACTGAATTTCAATATGACTTCAAAATTTTGCTCAGAGCAACTCAAATCCTCATGACTTCATCCCTTCTTAAGGCAGGGACACAGGATTGCTGGAAATGAAGCAACAGGTGCCATGACTGGGTGTAAAAATCTTTCAGATCCACACAGTTTAACACCCACAAAAGCAAGAGTAATGCCCAAACATTTAGCCTGGGAATTATTTCCAACATCCAGTTATTTCTAATGATATAAGATTATTTCTAGTCTCCCTGGGCTTGAAAGATGACTCTGAACAAGTACCAGAGTCCCTCTGCTTGTCATTTCCCTGTCTTCGGTGAACGTTAAAGCAACCTAGAATGAGAGACATGTACTGGAAAAGGATCTTACAAGGCAGCTTGCTTTTCTCACTTTAAGTCTCAAAAAAAGACACTGAAGACCAGATGTCTCCTCTCAGGAAGGTGTACAGAAGGCCAGCCCCGAGGTAGGTGGCCATCTTGGCTGATAGAGAATTTGGTTCTTGGCAGTATATGGACAGAGTATAGATGAGGAAGTAGAAAACTTTGGTTCAGAGGTCTTTGTTTCCATGGTCAATATCCTCTCTAAGTATTAGACTTCTTGACAGTAAAATTCCAGGACAAGAAAAGTAAAAAAAGGTATCATCTCAGTACTTATCAGGCATCATGTTCAATAATGTTTTTCCCTGATTCATTTAACAAAAACACTAAAATGTGGCTGTGTAAGAGGTATATTTCCAGTTCTCATCTTCGAGATTTGGATCAGTAGGTTAGAAAGTAGGCTCACACATGCATGTTTTTCACTGGTGCTAAGACGGTGAGTCACTCTGGATCAGGTGTATGGTACCAGGCCTCACACAACACTATTACAGCTACTCAAGGGCTCATGGAAACATGAAAAAACAAAAACCCATGGTCTCTGTCCTCAGGGTGTTCCTGAGGGTAGTTCTGCTTACAAAAGATCATCATCAAAAATGCTAATTGCTCCAGGTATAGTAATGCACACCCATAATCCCAGCTCTCTGATAAGCTGAGGCAGGAGCATTGCAAGTTTGAGTCCCCTTGGTGACTTAGTAAGACTCTGTCTCAAAATTCAAACAGTAATAGTAGTAACAATACTAACAACAATAATAATAATAACTACACAGAACTAAGAATGTAGCTCAGAGTAAAGACCTTACCTTCCATACCTAGTACCTACAAAAGAAGAAGGAAGATGGGGTGAAGGAGAAAGAGAGGAGAAGAAAGAGGAGGAAGAAGAGGAGAAGGGGGAAGGAGAAGGGGAAGCAGCAGTGGTGACAAACTGCTAAATTATCTTCAAAGTAGTGTAGGAACACTGGAAGCTTCCCGTGTTCATCAAATGGCTCTTAGTAAAATCTCCCAAGGAGAAAGTATGGTGGCAGAGTGCAGGAGGAGGAGAATGTTGGTGATCCGGAACTTACCAGGAAGACCTATGGAATGAGGTCACCCCAGCAGAAAGGAAGAGTTTGTGCAAAGGCACATATTTGAGCACAGTTTGCCACAAATATGGTAGCTCACACTGCAGGAGGGGCACACGGGCAGGGAGCAGCCATGTATGATGTTTTCCTAAGAAAAACAGGGCAAATGCATCTCCAATGTGAGTTCCATTTCATTTAACAGTTTGAGGAGTAGTGCCATAGATCCTCTCTAAATTTCTTGTATAATTCAGTAGTGAATCTTTCAGGACCTGGGTTTTTCTTTGTTTGTAGGGTTTTAATTACATCTTCAATTTCATTGGAGGATATTGGTTTATTTAGAATTTTGATGTGCTCTTGCATCAGCTTTGCTAGTTCATACTGATCAAGGAATCTGTCCATTTCTTCTCTGCTTTCTATCTGATTACGTTGCAGTTTCTCCAAGGAGGTATTGATGATCTTCTGAATTTCTACAGGATCTGTTTTGATTTCACCCTTTTCATTCCAAACTGCATGAATTTCAGTCTTTCCTTTCCTTTTTTTATCAGGTTCACTAACAGATCTTGTAAAACAGTTTAAATTTTACCATGCAGGATTTAGGAATAGAGAAATAACACGTTCAAACATCAGAGAAATCACTCTGGTTACGCAGTTTAGGGTGAAGTAACACTTAAATACAGTCAGAGCAAAGACCTGATGGGATTCCAAAGTGCAGGCTGTGATGTGAAAGCCTACACTATGACATTGGTCAGGGAAGGAAAATGAGGAGGCCAGCATTTCAACACCCTTAGACACAGAGTTTTCAGAGCTTTGTGACTGACTAGATATCCAGAGTTAATAGAGCATATTGCCCCCATGAAAACTGGCACTCAGTGGACTGGTTAAATTGGCCAACTAGCTGGATACAAGTGCCACACCTTCACAGAGAATGCAGAGAAAGATGTGCTCATTTCTAATCCTGTTGGCACTCTGGTCTACACTCCAGTAAAGTGACTAGCTAGCTAAAAGCAGTTCGAAATTCCTTAGCTTATAAGAAAGCTCTCATGTGGAAACAGCTTCTAGAAAACCTAAGGAGACAACAGAAAAAGTGGGGCCCATAGAGGCCTAACTTTCTGTCCCCTTTCACAGAGAAATGATGAAATGGTAGAGTTTGAGAGTTTACTGTGAATTGTAGCCTATAATGACAGTGTAGATTTAAGAAACTCACTCCCACTAGAGCAAACTAGTGCAAGAATTTCAACCTCAGATGACCAACTTATGACTTGGAGATTAATTAGGTCCCTATAGCTATGACTACAGATGCTGAAATACCAACTCAACAAGTGGAAAGTCCACTTCACCGAGGCTGGCGGTTGCCACAGGTGGATAGGAGGTCGCATACTTCTCTGAGTAAGACAAAGCAGTCACACCCCAGAGATTTGGGTTTTGAAAGCACTGTGCCTGCCAAGTAAAACATTCAAACAAAACCTGCAATGGGCTGAGGCAGTTTAGACCTCTGCTCTGGGAATTTCTAAATCCTCCTTAACATGCCCCAGGCAAACAGCAAGATAGGTATGGAGATTTTCTGTTCTCAACTGCTTTACCAGATCAGCCCATTGTGTGTTGGAAACCAAGAGTCTTCCTCTACCATCTCAGGAAGCCTAGTGTCCAGCACTGCTTCTCTCCTTCTCTCATTGTATTTGCTTTCTAGGGCACCATAACAAAGTACCACAAACCGAGTGGTTTGAAACTTTCAACATCCTAGTCTCCCAGGTCTGGAGTCTAGAAATCCAGAGTTGGAGTGGCCTTGGATCTTCTTTACCTTCCCCTCTGCTCTGTGCATGGCATCTCCTGCCTGTGTCCCTTTGCGTGGTGCTCTGAGTGTGTGTCTATTCCAATTTCCTTTATGGTGAGGCTACCACTCACAATGGACTAGAATCTACCACACCTACCTGGTTTTAACTGTGTCATCTTTATGAAGAGCCTGTCCCCAAACGAGGGTATAGCCTGAGGTTGTGATGAGGGGGTTAACACCAATTTTAGAAACCACATAACTCAATATGTAACCCTTTACTAATTAACTCAAAGCAGATATCGTCAAGAAAAGGTTCTCCTCTTATTTGGGACATGAAAACCAGAAGAATTCAGATGTTCTTATGTTCTCACTGAGAGGCAGACAGAAGCACAGACTCCTAGAATCGGAATGTAATATTAGGTAAGAAAGTACTAAACCCCTGGGTGTGACCTAAAAAGCCTTCTTCACAACTGGTCCTTTTAAAACATTCTTCTCTTCCTGAGAAAGTGTTGCCTCCCTCTTCTTAAACACAGTAGTTCCATCCATCGCACACACACGCATACGCACACACTCACACACACACACACACACACGCACACACACACACTCACACACACACACACACACACACACCATTTCTAGATTCTTCATCCCATTCTCATTTCCTTTGTCACCTCAGCTAACCACAGTGGAGGGGACCCTGATATGATAATCTGAAAGGTCTAACTAGGAGCTTTGCATCAGTCTTCAGAGATCTTTCTTGTTTTTCAACCCCTTTCCCAGAGCACTGGCAACCAGAACAATTCAAGAAACATACAAAACTAAGTCCCCGATGCCCTCTGTGTATTGCACTGGCCTCAAAGACCCAAAGAAGAGCAAAGAATGCCAGCAATCTCAAAGCGACAACACTTACTGCTTCGGAGAAGAAAAATCACAGCCTCAAGAGAAAGATTCTGTAAAAACACCAAAGGGCAAATACCCTGATAGTGGGACCTCTGCCCTGTGCCAAGACCAAGAAGTTTCCACCAACACCATAGAACCAGACCCTGACACTAGTCCACCCCTGGAGAGCGGAATGATTTCTGAAGATGCAACTAAATCAGAAGGTCCCAGTCTAAAGCCAGGTGGGAATTCTGGGAAGCAGCTTCTCCCAAATTCCACGAAATGGGCCGTAAGCTTCCAGGATGAGTCCACAAATTCAACCTTCCTAGAGTTGCTTGACAAGGTCAAAAATGCCCACTATCTCCGGCACAGGATCCCCCCTGAGTCTGAGAGGTTGCTTAGCATTGGGGAGATATTCGGACACACAGAATCCTCACCACCCGTGGCAGGACAGGTTTGTGAAATCAGGGTATCACCTGAGTTCCTTCCTGTGTAGCAGTTTAATATAGACCGAGGATAACATATATTGTAATCACTAAGAAAATGAATTAAAAACTAATCCTTTCTAGTTAATTTTAGTTTCCCACTTTCAACCTGCTCACATTAAATCTTTGGATCTTAGTAAAAGTGCAGTAACCAAGACAGAAAATAAACAGAAATCCAAATGTATAACTTTTTAATCTGTGATGCCTCTCTCTCTGTGTCTCTCTCTCTGTGTCTCTCTCTCTGTCTCTGTCTCTCTCTCTCTCTCTCTCTCTCTCTCTCTCTGCAAGTAAATGAAAAATGGAGGGAGGGATGATGAATCTTCTGAAAATATTTTAAATGATGAACATGTGTTTTTAATGTTATCAAAAATGGGCACATACATTAATGACTGGACTTCTCTCCCAAGGAAAATGTGAAGAATCCTACTTCCATTGCCTCCCACTGCAACGCTTATGGTGCCATCTGTTGGCGAAATGACACAGCTCCTCTCCTTTGTTCATTTCATGTGTGGAAGGAGTAGGACTAGGAACACAGTTTAAAATAGTATTTACTATAGAGTCAGGTTTGCTGACACACGCTTGTAACCCAGTAATTTGGAGGGTGAGGTAGGAGGATTCCAAGCTCAAACTCAGCCTGGGCAATTTAGCAGCTCAAGAGAGACCCTGGGAGACAGGGATTGCTCAGTGCAAAGGCCCTAGTTTTGTAATTTAAAAAAAAAATAAAAAGGTACAATATTAATGTCTCTAAATAAAACATGAGGCTTTCCATAGACTTGTGCTCTGCTTTGAACTCTTCCTGCCTTCCTTTCTTTCCTCTTCAAGTATTTCCATTTTAGTTTCCTCTTTCCCGCTTTCAACCTGCCCACAGGAAATTCTTTGGAGCCTAATAAAAGAATAAAACAAGCTGTTTCCTTTTGTATCCTCTAGAATGAAAGGATTTCAGCAATTTGTAGTCACTTCTCAACACTATCAGAGTCACACCAGAATCTATCCAGGACCATCCCCCTGTAAAATAAGAGGTTACTAAGTCTGTGAAAAGGTTATTTTTTTCAAGTAGGTCTCCACACTTGGGCTCCAAAATAAGTGACTCTAGAGGAATTTATTGCTCACTCGAGAGTCCAAATTCCACACTAAAATCAAGTGGTGTCACAAATCATCAGAGGATGACAGTTCATTATTATTGCATTTTAATCCTGCGTTAGCCCTCATCAGGTGTAAAAAATCATCACGTTCTTTCATTTAATTGCTATCCATAGCAAATCCCTTAGGAAAAGTAGCTTATACCTTCAAGTACTAGGTCAAACATCTACTAGGGAGTAAATTTAAATCTTCACCCCAGTAGCAAAGTTGAATACAAAAAGGATAAACTTGGAACCTATTCATTTATTTTAAATTGAATTATTTTCTTTAAAGAGAGACTTACTAGGTTATCACATTGATCTCAAGCAATTCTCTTGCCTCAGCTTCCCAAGTAGCTGAGACTACAGCCTACAAGCATGGGCTGCCTAGCCGGGGGATATTTTGAAGAAAGGAAATTATTTAATTGTTTGATAAAGGATCCTAACCTACTAATACTATAGTCAGAAATAATGATTGGTTAATTTACATTTAATTGCATTTAATTGGGAATGAATTTAATTAAATTACATTTAATTTAACAACAATTTAATTCTCATTTAGATGCCTGTGTTTAAAATAATAATTCATAACAGTTCCCATTTTCTAGTATCTCCTATCGGCCTGATGCAACCTTGCCCTACAACATGTCTACTGATCTTCCTATCTCTGAAAAAGTAGTGGAGTTTTGTTTTGTTTTGTTGATCTAGAGGTGGAATCCAAGGCTCTCACAGTGAGCTAGCTACACCGCCAGCCCTTGAAACTTTCTACTTTGCAACGAGGTCTCTCTAAGTCTCTAAATTCCTTAGGCTGAGCTCGAACTTGTGATCTTCCTGCTTGAGTCTCCCAGAGTGCTAGGATTATAGGAGTTTCGGATCATGTCCAGAAGTTTTGTTCGTTGTTTGTTTTTGATCCTCCTCTTACATATAAGAGAGTAGGATACTGACAACTTGCTAGCACTGCTTATGACAGAGCAGAATTTGGTCCCAGTTTTCTTGGGCACTTTTTTGCCATCTACCACACTGCCACCTATTTCCGAATGAGTTTCAGGAGAATCAGTTTTATAAACCCAGGTCCAAGGCTTCACGGGGAAATAACATTTAAAAAATCTTTTCCTTTCTACTTGTTTGTTCAAAAAATCAAAGCAACTAGGACATAAAATAGGGCAGGGACCAAACAGGAGAAAAGGTGATTTTTGAAACAGACATGATGCCGCATGCCTGTAATCCCAGCACCCCAGAGGCTGAGGCAAGAGAATCACAAGGTCAAGCCCAGCCTTAGCAATTTAGTGACTTAACAAGATTCTGTCTCAAAAAATAGAAAGGGCTAGGGTTATAGCTCAGTGCCAAGGCCCTGCCTGGGTTCAACCTCCAATACTACCACAAAATGCACAAATATATAATTTACCTGCACTGGCCATGAAAAAGTGATGCACACCTTTGAGAACCCAAACTCTGAGAACCAAGTCCTTTCTCCTGAGTTCTTTCTCCTTAGCTTTTACTGAAGCCTCACCTATTTCCATCACCACCCACCTCCTCAGGTGAGTTCCCAGAACTCTTTGTCCCATCTCTAACTGGGTCTCTTCCCTGTGTCCACCCCAGCCAGCGTGAGGGCTGCCAGGAGGGCAGCAGCGGGCAGCCACACCTAGCCCTGGCCTCAGTGCCACTTGACTAAACACTGCTCTGAGCACCTCACTTGCAATCATGAGAAGTAAAAGTTCTGTACTTTATGTATCTCACATACCCAGCTCTAGCTATACTCCTAAATTCAATCCTTTAGTACGGTCTAGCTCAGGGATATCTCATACATTTGCCCCAAAATTGTACAGTTACAAACTCTCCAATTACTTAGCTTTTGTACTCTTACTTTATCTAATATATTTCTTTCCTCAATTCAGTGCATCCAAAGTTCTGATTAGTCCAACTCGACATAATCAAAGGAAGGCCAAAACTTTGGGCCTTCTTTGTCTAAAGCAAATTATAGATTAGTTCCAAAGAACGGTTTAAATCTTTCACAAAGCACATTAAACTCAGGGATGGCTTCCACTCAACCAGCCTTAAATTATTTCCATATGTGAGCGGTTCTCAACTGAGCACAAATGTGCTCCTAACCTTAAAAGATTTGTAGCAGTGTTTTAGAGACATCTTTCACTGTCATAGCTAAGGTGAGGGGTCGCTAGTGGAGTCTAACAGGTAAAGATCTAGAATCCTGTAGCAGAATGGAACAACCCTTCAGATAACAACAGGCCCAATGGTGATGAAGTTGGAACTTGCAGTCTATCTAGTGTTTTAATCCTCACAAACTTCTCTAATATAAGAAATCAATTAGATCCTTGCTCCCCATTGTACAGAAGTGGAAATGATGAGGCTCACCATCAATGAAACACTCTTTCCAGAACAGGGATGGAGAACAAAGATTAGGACACTGCTTTCCTGTGCTGTCCTTCTCTCCTAAGAGTATGGGACTGGTATGGCTTATGTCTAGATGTTCCTTGGGTGCTCACAAGCAGGACTTTTGAAAGAGGGTTAAACCATGGGGCTGCTACAACTGAGCTGCTGTTAAAAGGTGGGACAGTTCAGAAAAGCCAGGCTACTGGGTGCTTGATATGACAAAATATAAGTGGTACCTCAACTCACAAACCTAACTTGCTCTACGTTTTTGGAAAAGATGGCCACATTTGTGTTTGTGTGTGAAAGATGGCTACAGTCATATTTGTTACTGGGTGCATAGTTTACAGACAAAACTCAAATTCTGCAGAACACTTGTTTGCAAACCAAATTGTTTGCAGACAAAACTGTCGGTGAGCCCAGGTACCACTATGTCCTCTTCCCTGATTCCTGCCTCCTCTCTCTGCTTCCTGGCCAAGATGTGAGCAGCTTTTTCTGCCCAGGCCCTTCCACCGTGCTGTTCCATCTTGACTGGAACCATGAGCCAAAGCAAACCTTTGCTCTTTTCAGTGGTGAGTGTCCAGTATTTTGTCCAGCGACAGGAAAGAAGATTGAAACAGAGGTGGTGCAACGCCCAGTGGCGTATGCTCTTATTTTCAGCTCTATAAATAAAAATCTTTAATAACAAATTTAGTAACAGTAAATGGTAAAAAGGAAAAATTCATACTTTAGTTTTGAAAGAGCAAGATGTTTTTTATTGTACTTAGATTGATACTTTCATTCAGAGATATATTGAGAAAGACAATTTCTTCTCCATCCCCTTCTACTGAAGAAAGGGGAGCTTTCACCTTGTTACCCAAACTCATTGAATGAGGAGGGAGTCTGTCACCCAGAGACAGAAACATTAGGAAGCTCACTGACTCCGCCTCTCATTCAGGGTCTCACAGTTCCAAAAGCTGCAGAAGGTACCCGGAAGTCCTCATCATCACCTTCAGTGTGAAGCAGGATCAGTAAGTGTGTCAACTGGCTCACACTGTGAGACAGTAAAAGCAAAAGACCCATATTTGGAGTTCTTAGGTACTGCAGTTGGAGAAAATAGATCCACAAAGCACTAAGAGTGCTCTGAAAGAAGCAGGATAGGGGCAGGGGTCTGTGGGAACATCAGCAGGGGTGGTTTACTACAAACAGGAAAAATTCCTTCCTACAACTCTTCTACTGAATGTTGGGAAAGACAGTGGCTACATGGCTGACAGAAGATAAGGAAACTAATGCATTTAATTAATAAAATGTCTACTAGAGTCAAGCACTCTCTTATAACACATTTTATGTGTTTCAGTCTTCACAGAAAGGATTCCTCATTGTCCAGCTTCATAGGACCATGTTAAATGACTTGCAGCGAGAACACTTTAAACCAGACCATAAGTAACATTCCAGCACTCTGGGCGGCTGAGGCAGGAGTATTACAAGTTGAAGCCCAGTGTAGGTAATTAATCTTATTGAAACCCTGTTCCAAAATGTAGAAATTAAAAAGAGCTGGACATGTAGCTCCGTGTGAAAGCCCTGGGTTTACCAATTCAGCATTCATAGGTAGATAGATAGATAGATAGATAGATAGATAGATAGATAGATAGATAGAAATCAAATAAATATATATCAGAAAAAACTTAAAATCCAGATGTTATTTGATCAGAACAAGATAACAGTAAGCAAAAATGATGATGGTTATTGTGAGAGAAAAAGATAACCATTTCACATTTATACCTTACCAAGCTGAAATTGCTGTTTTCACCTACTCAGAGAAGCATGTGCTAAGTAACATTTACTATCAGAGATACAGGCTATTTATTATGTGGCCTCATTGTCATTCTGGCTCGAGTGCAACCCACTTGAGATGGACAAGAAAAGGTGTCTGACTTAATTTGCACAGTATGAACTATAAGTGTCCCATCTTTCGCCATCTATTGTGAATGTGTTACTATTGTGTTCTAATAATAGGTATCAATCGATTAGACTGTAGGTGAAATTCAGTGTAATTAGTTAAATTATTAGGAGCATCTCAATTGTATTAAAGTTGTTCCATGAAACCAGGCAGTCAGGTATCCTTCTTGTGAAGGAGAAAATACACATAAATACTTGTAAAAGAATTCCAAGCAACATATTTGTGTTGGAATCAAACCTGACCCAAGCATGGACCCACTCAATTCAAAAGTATTATTAATAAAATATTTATTCAAGTAATACATGATAAAGAGAAAATGCATGTAAGCTACATGTGAAGATATTTCATCACACAGCTGCCTATTGGAAATTTTTGAACATTCACGCTAACGGCTGTCTACGAGGTGAGATTTAAAAACAAATGACGAATGCTTAACTTTTTAAAAATGTATTACAGCAAAGGACACATTGTCACTGATGCCCCTCAAAGCTTCCTGTCACTTAAACCCTCTGATACCTCAGTTCTTGGTACTGTCTGAAGCAGTTCTGGAAGCCCTCTTGCACAAGGTGCTCTCATGGCTGCCTCTGTGTCCTGAATCCACTCAAGACATTTAGTTTTCATAGTCATTTTGACTTTGGGAAGAACCAGAACTCACACGGTGCCAGATCTGGTGAACAAGGTGGAAGAGAGCACATTATACTGTTTTTACTTGTCAGAAATTGCCATAAACATTTGATCGATGAGGATTGATGATTCAAAAATATGGTGAATGATTCCATTGATAATTCACTCGCAGCAAAGGCCACAGTAATGCTGGTCTCCTCGAAATATTCAAAATACTTATGCTCTCTCCCAACGTGCCTATCAGTCATTGTTCTTGAAATGTGTCTTTTCTGGTGAGAAAGTTTTTTAAAAATTTAAACATTCACCATCAGTTTCAATCACCCCTTGACCACTGGGTGCAAGAAATAAGACAAAATACACAGCGAGTGTGTTCAGAACCAAAGTTCGAATGTGTGAACTGCGCGGCGGG